CTGTGCTTTCGCAAGTGCGTGAAAATCGATCGCCCTTGCGAGTTCCTCGACCCTTGAGAGGGCATCTGCGACTACATTGTCTTTCCCGGAAATGTGACGTATGTCTGTAGTGAACTGACCGATAAAGTCTAGGTACCGAAATTGTCGGGGAGAGCATTTCTCCGGTTTTTGGTTGAAAGCAAAAGTTATTGGCTTATGGTCTGTAAGTACCATGAATAACCTGCCCTCAACCATGTACCTAAAATGTTTTATCGCCAGGTAGATAGCCAAAAGTTCCCTATCATATGCGCCGTATTTTTGTTCTGCTGGGCTGAGCTTCTTTGAAAAGAAAGCGAGCGGCTGCCACTGACCACTGACTAGTTGTTGAAGGGCGGCCCCGGCGGAGTTGTCTGAAGCATCGGTGACGAGCGCCAGCGGCGCCTCGACGTCTGGGTGTGCCAATAGAGCTGCTTGCGCCAGGGCGTGTTTGCACGCTTCATATGCTTCTTCTGCGCTAGTACACCATTTTAACTTGGTATTTCCTTTAATGTTGCCTTTTAGAAGATCGTTAAGCGGGGCTTGGATTTTAGAGGCGCCAGGAATGAACCGTCTGTAAAAATTAATCATTCCCAAGAAACGTCGTAGCTGTTTCGCAGTGTCGGGTTTGGTGAATTTTTCGATTGCTTCGACTTTCTCCGGTAGAGGACGCGTTCCATCCTGCGAGACGCTGTAGCCGAGAAATTTTACTTCACTAGAACCGAAAACGCATTTGGACGGGTTAATTACAACACCGTACTCTCTGAGGCGAGTAAACAGGGTTCTGAGGTGTTCGACGTGTTCGTTTTCCGAACTAGAGGCCACTAAAATATCGTCTATATACACATAACAAAAATCGAGCCCGCGTAGAACTTCATCTATAAAACGTTGAAATGTCTGTGCCGCATTTCTAAGTCCGAACGTCATGAAAGGAAATTCATACAACCCAAACGGAGTTGTAATCGCGGTTTTCGGGATATCGTCTATTGCTACCGGAACTTGATTATACGCCCGCACCAAATCTATCGTCGAAAATATCCGCTTTCGACTAAGAGATTGCGCGAAATCTTCAATGTGCGGAACGGGGTATCGATCCGGTAAAGTTCTTGCGTTTAAACCGCGATAATCTCCGCAAGGCCGCCACTCGAAATTTGATTTTTTTGGGACCAAATGTAGCGGTGAAGACCAGCTGCTCTCGGACGGCCGCGCGAGTCCGAGTTGGAGCATTGTTTTGAACTCCTTTTTCGCGATTTGAAGTTTATCCGGTGCTAAACGTCGCGGTTTGCAGGCGATCGGTGGTCCGGGCGTCGTGCGAATATGATGACAGGTAGAGTGTTTGACTGACGCAGGTATTCCGGCCGGCCTAGTTATTTCCGGAAAACACTCTAGGACGGCATGATACTTAGAATTTCCGCAAACTGATTTTATTTGCGGCGTTGCCACGGTGACGGATTTGCCGTTGGCAGTTAATGACGTAACATTGTCGATAAGACGCTGGTTGCGGATATCCACTAGGAGGTTAAAATGCTCGAGAAAGTCCACTCCTATGATAGGTTTTGTCACTTCGGCGATGACGAAACGCCACACGAACGAACGGCGCAAACCTAAATTTAAAGTCAGCGTCACAGAACCGTACGTTGAAATCACGGTGTTATTTGCTGCATAGAGTTCATAGGAGGATTTCGTAACATACCCTCGTATACGCGAACGCGGGTAAACACAGAGGTCAGCACCAGTGTCAACGAGAAATGTCACTTTTGTGTCGCGATCTGTCACAAATAGGCGGCGCGTGTTAAGGCAGAATTCGTTAGCCGCCATTAACGATTGCCCTGGTCGTTTTCCGAACTAAACGCGCACGGTTGATTGCACTTTCTTGCCTTGGCGCCGAATATAGAGTGGTACCAACACAAATTACTGTCTTTGCCCGCGCCTTGTTGCCGGCTTTTGCTTCGGGAGCGGGAACGTTGCCGATACCCGTTTGACCTGGACGGCCGGTGGTTTGTTGTCAAAGCAGCGATTTGCGCAGAGAGTTGCTCCAGCAGGGCTCGCGTCGTTAAACCCCCATCGGCAGCCTCATGAACTTGCGGGCGAGCTGTGGTTTCTGCGACGGCGTCTGCGAGATCGGCGACTGACGTCAAGCTGGCGTTGGCTTGTGTAGCCAAAATGGCTTGCATGGAAATGGGTAACCGGCTTACCCATAATGACCTTACAATGTTGTCCGGTACAACCGAGCCTGCCAAGTTTTGGAGATGGCGTAAAAACTGCGACGGTTTCCTGTCGCCTATCTCCTCGTGCTCCAAGAGCCGCTTCGTTTTCTGCTCTTGGGATGAACTTAGCCGCTTGATAAGCTCATTTTTTAAATATGTGTATTTGTTGGTCTCTGGCGGTCGACTTAGCACATCACGCACTTCCATAGCGTACTTACAGTCAAGGTTCGCTGCTACGTAACTAAAACGAGTGTCCTCACTTACGATGCCGGAGATAATAAACTGATTCTCCACTTGAACGAACCATGTTTCAGGATCAGCAGCCCAGAATGGTGGGATTCGCACTGCAACCCTTTCTATGGCCTGTTGGCGGTTAGCATTGGCCTGGTCCTGATGTTGGTCTGGCATTTTAAAAAACCAAAGATAACGCGCGGTTGAATAGCGAGAACACACACAACACCGAAAACACAACGTACGTAATGCGACTACTCTCAAAAAATAGATCACGTCGGGGTCACCAATTTGTGGGTACGTTAGGTACTAAGAGGAGTAAATAAAAGCACGACCGTATTTATAAAAACTTTAACTGATTTATTTAAAAATAAAGATACTAAAAATTATTGTAACAAAGATGTTGTCGCGGAGAGGTCAAAAACCGATCTGTCCCTTTTACAAAGTTTAAAAGGGAAAGTAGGTAGTTTTGGGATTCTACAAAAATAGCAAGGCACTTGACTTCTTTGTTGAATAAGAACCGGGGAGTCAAGTGTCGAGGTCCAGGTATAAAAAGAAATGACATTATGTATATCTTGCTACATACAACTTAAAACTTAAAAACCTTAAATAATATTTGAATTTACAAAATGAAGCGAATAAAAATAAGTATAAAGAGTATAAGTATAAAGAGTTTAAGTATAAAGAGTATAAAAACATTGAAATTATAAAATAATTGTAGAAATATTAAAGGTGTATCACCACATAAAGCATTAAAAAAATAAAATTAAATTCTTTTAGAACTATTATAGTTCTAACTATAAATCACTGATTTGAAATCAGAAGTTACCACTCATTTTTATGAGCTTTCGGTAACAAAATATCACTACATTCTTTTTTCTAAAAATATTTTACTACTTTAATTATTATTATTTTTATGTACTCATAGGTGTAAGCTTACTCTAAATGTATTCATTTTTTAATAGCGGCTGGTGGATTTTGCCTATGCCGATATCTTAGTTGGTGTGGCCCCATGTCTTATAACTAGTATCGGTATACCCAAAACCCCCCAGACGCCACTTTCTTTTTTTTTGTTCTGTTACACTATAAATATTTTTAAACTTTTTTTAAAAATAAATTTTCTTATAAATACACACTTTTATTTATTACCTTAAACAATCGCACTGATATAAATACATGCTATACTAATAATCATACATTTCTAATAGTTAAAATATGAATTGATAATTGCAATTAATAAAAATATTTATTATTATTTCTCGCATTATAATAAACACCTATTGCCTTTTTAATACAAAGCTCTTGTGGATGATGTATTACCTTAAGTTCATTTACTATAAATAGGCTTTTCTAATATAAAGCGCCTGTGGATTAACTATTAAGTGAAGACCAATTACTATAAGAATATTTTTTTAACATAGCGTTTTTTTTATTAATAGTAACTAACTAATGTTTTAACTGTTACTGAACTAACTCTTATTAACAAATAAATATGATATACTTTAAGATGTGTTTACTATAAACCCATATGAGGTCGGCAAAATACAATGTTACGTTAAGGTGAATATAAACCTATTACGGTGTTTACAACCACTCCTTTCCCTCTGTGTAAGTCTTCATGATTGTATTTTGTTATGTGTAATTTTAAAGTGTAAACCTGTAGTCCTATATTTATTAAGCCGTTCCACATCAATATATATTTACGTTGTTCGTTGTATTTGACGCAAATTTGCTCGTGTTCGTTAGAATAATTATAGATAGACTGTAGACTGCACAAAAAACACGCAAATATTTTCGCCAGATACAACACACGCTAACCACCGGTCTGTCGGTTTCTCTGCCAACTTCAAAGAGATTTGCGTCAAACAACCCTCGAGTGCTTGTTTTAATGTGGACTTGAATATTTTTTTAGTTTGTTTTTGAAATATGAGTGCCTAGTAGCGTCAAAAAAGATAAATAAGTAGGATTATCTTTGGTAGCGTCTACCTATATATAGTTATTATTTTGGGTGCCATCATGCCAACTTATTAGTAAAAACAAGTGCGCGGTTTTTATAATACTAAATTACCTATAACAAAATAATAATAAGAAGAAAGAAAATGAAAAACATAGACGTTATTGGACAACAAAACTTTTCCAGTGTAGAAGCCAGAGTGATGGTGAAAACCTATTAAAAACGTTAGCATTCGATGAGACAACGAGGCAATTTAGAAATTTTGTACAAATGTCCCCACCCGATTTTCAAATTTTACTTAAGTTGGTTGGAAGAAAATGGACACAAATTTTAGAAAGGCTATATCAGATGAATAAAGGCCACTTTACGATTTTTGGCCACGGGAGATTTTTACTCAAGTTTGCAGTATCTGTTTAAAATCTCTAAACAAGCTATTTTAGAAATAGTGCCAGAAGTTTGCACTGCACTTATTGATTCTTTAAAAAATTACGTAAAGGTAAGCTTTTAAAAAATAGTTAGCTATTACTAGGAATAAAAAAACTAAGAATCTTGTTCCGATTATTATTTTTTATTTTTCTGAACACGACACTACGCTACAATGTAATAAAAGGCTGCAGCACAGTAGGTAGGTTGTCTTCCTCCTGTGCTTGTTCATCTGGTTGAGCAGATTTCGAGGAACTATTACTGTGAGCTGACCAAGGAGACCCTTGCGCTGCATTTGAAAAAAAAGCAGGAGTTGGTACTTGTGTTCTGAAGTGAGAGTTATCATAGTGTCCCATCTCTGCCTCAAAAACAATTTGATTAATAGTGTGTTTAATCATAGCTCTTGTTCTTCCTGAAAACTGCCTTAGTTTATTAGCCAAATGTTGGGTATATAGCAAAGTTGGATCATCTGGTTGTTGTGGAAAATTTAAGGCGGCCTGTAATTGACTATCATTCACGCTATCGGTTTTAGATTGTTTTTTACGCTTCGGTGTTTGTGGTTTCATAAACTTTTCCTTTTCTTTTTTGGAATCTGACGCGTTACTGGTTGCGCAACTATTTTCTTCAATTTGTGTAGGATTTTCAAAATTGTCATCGTTCTCTTCCCTGATTTCGATAGGCTGAAATGCTTGCTCAAATGCACATTCATGGTTTTCGGTTTTATTAGCATTAGTACTAGTTTCCTCGCTGACTTCGTCCTGAAAAAAATATTTTTTTTTAGATGCCTTTAACGCCATAGGAATGGTCAAGTATTGCTAAGCAATTTGAAACAATCTGGAATTTTCCACACTGCGTGGTTCAATGGACAGAAAACACATTATACTACAATCTGTGTTATTTGCAGTGGTTGATGCTAATTATAATATAATCTTTGCTGACGTGGGCTGTGAAGGAAGAATTTCTGACGGCGCACAGTGTTTCAATTCTCGAAAATATCGGCAAAACCTCAAAAATTGACTTTTTTTTTCAGGTAAATTTTGAGTTAGATGAGTAGTTAATACCTGTCTCCATCCTGTTTTGAAAAAAATTATATAAAATAAGTATATTTTGTCTTGTACATCAGTTTCAACTGGACGCTTTCAGTTGAAGGTAGTGATTCCCACGAGAGTCTCGTTTTCGAGAGTCTCGCATGGTCTCGTCTCGTTTTCGAGACGAGACTTGAGACGATATTTGGACCGGACGAGACGATACTTTTATTGGGCTCGTCTCGAGTCTCGCGCGAGACTTCTGAAGTCTCGTGCGAGAGTCTTGCAGGAAAATATTTCTGCGCACGGACTTGATCGTCACTGGGTGTTATTAAACAAACGTTTGACGGTCATTTTTTTTGTCAGGCAGCCGGATCCGCCTTTGCACCCCACTTTGACTGTCATAAATTTAGCGATATGTATGTGTAAGTAAATAAAGACGATTATTAATTGTTTCGACTTTTACTTGATGAAACTCCATATTAACTATGTAAATATAAAAACAACTATGTTTTGAAAGTTTCAAGTAGTTTATTTGAATGTTGACAATTGTTTTGCTACACAGTAGCTTTTTCAGAATGTATTAAAACTAATACTAAGTAGTGCAAAATTTATATATAAAAAACCAATATTTTTGTTATATATAACAAAAATATTGGTTTTCTTTGTAATAATTTTTATTTTAAATCTACCTGTGTTACATAATATTCAAAAAAGTAATAAGAAATTCCTTATGGGAAATACCTAATCTATTTATTGTTAACAATTTTATTTAAGGGGCAATATTTTAAATATGTGATTGTTTTATGTATATAATGCTATTGAATTGTTTATTGTTTAAAAGTGAATAACTTGTGTTTGGTGTGTCCGATTGATATGCGGATTGATTGAAGGGTGATCTTTAAGCAATGTAAAATTCAGATATGTATTTGTTTTTCGTAGATTTTGCTGGTACAACGGGTTATTGTAACCGACAAGATCGGTCTGTTAAAATCGCAAACTTTGAATCGAGCTCTTAGAACAATGGAGCTATAGCTATTGTAAGGCACGAGTTCAAGATCCGTTGAATAGCTTAGAGTTTTGTCTGCCCCAACTCGCCCCCGGCTCTTTAAAACTACAGGCACGGTTGTGGTAAAAAAACCTCGCGATTTTAAGCCTATATCGCGCGCGTATCTGTGTTTTTGCTTTACAAAATATTTTTTTTTATTTCTTGGTTGCGTTCATGACGTTTACTCGATTCACTCGGATCTAACTCAAAACGTTTATTACAACAGCGGGGTCTAGACTTTCACTTGCGTAAATCGTTCGTGACTACTAAGATATTTAACACCGATTTTACATATTTAACGCACCTCTTGTAGGTTCGTTGCGCATTGTAGTGTGTTAATATCAAATTTGAATTGTGGTTATTTGTGTTGACAATTTTTTTAGCGAATTAAGAAATATAAAGTAAAAGAAATAATAACATACTTATAAGTATAAAATCTGTTATATTTAAATTGTATAAATAAATTTTGAAATTTGTCGATAAACTGCAGTGAATTAAATATTGCACCACTTTAATATGATTTATCTTAATTTGGGGGACCGGAGGATAAAAAACTAACTTTTTTGCAAACTTTAATTCAAATTCTGCTTGCGCAGAACTTGTCATTATGAACTAATATAAATTTGGTTTGGGTCCCATGTCTAATAACTGATATATCGCGGTGTACCCAAATTCACCAGCCGCCAATGGCGTTTAGAATATGTAAATATATTATTATAATAATTCTTTTAATAATATCATATAAATGTAATTATAATAAACTAAATTAAGCTATTTTATAAAAATATGTTTTATTTACATTTAAAAAAGGACCTCTTAAGAAGACATTTTTATCAAAAAATTGTCGAAATTAATTAAAAACCCATAAGTATGGGTTTTTAATTAATTTCGACAATTTTTTGATAAAAATGTCCGCCATTTGAGGTCCACCATTTTGTATTTTGGAATTCTGATTCCAGATTAAACCCCTGTATGGTGATTTTCAATTTATTCCGGCAATGTTTTGACAAATATGTCCGCCATTTTGGATCTACCATTTTGAATTTTAAAGTTCTGATTCCTTATCAGCGACCACAAACACCCCTGTATGGTGATTTTCAATTTATTCCGTCAATTTTTTGATAAATATGTTCGCCATTTTGGATCTGCCATTTTGAATTTTGGAATTCTGATTCTGATTCGTTATCAGCGACCCCAAAAACCTCTCTATACGGATTTTTAGGAGAATCTGACTACTCCTTGATATTTTGCCGAAAATTTCAAGAATTGAAACACTGTGCGGCGGTGTTTTTAGGAATACTGAAATTTATCGTCCTATGCAGGCAAAGCTTTTACAACACCTTTGAAAAAAGGAGAAAAAGTACCCTATGTCTTTATAGCTGATGAGGCTTTTCCTCTTACCGAAAACATAATGAAACCATACTCAGGAGTGCATCCAAAAGGATCTAAAGAAAGAATATTTAATTATCGACTAAGCCGTGCTCGTAGAGTAGTAGAAAATGTATTCGGGATAATGGCATTAGTTTTCTGGCTATTAAGGAAACCTTTGTTGTTGGAACCAAGTAGGTAAGGCGGAAATTATTATTATGGCAATACTGCACCTGCACAATTTTTTGCACTTCTGCCATTAAAAAATGTACCTACCACGTCGAGCACCAATTCTTGCGAAAGAAATAAGGGAGGAATTTACGGTATATTTTTTTACAAATGGTTCAGTTTCATGGCAATTTATGAATGCTTAGAAAAGACAAACTTGCAATATAATAAGTTTCAATTTATCCTTCTATAAATTAAAAATAATTTATAATTACTTACGTCTATTATGGTCGTTTCTGTATTTATGGTAACTCTTGACTGATCCCTATCTTCGATAAATAAAAGGCTTTTAAAAGCAAACCAACTACACCTATAGTATACTTTTTTTATTATATCAAAATTCACAGTAATTCACAGTGATTTGAAATGAGTTGAATTAATAGGCGTCTAATTTTTTTATCTATAGCTTTATCATTTAATTTAATTTTTTTTACCCCCCTAGTCGAATTATTTTTTATCTTTTAAAATGAATTAGTCAAAAATAACTAATTAGTCATATTTGACTAATTTTTATAGCGAAAAAGCAGTCACTAATAATTAGTCAAATTCTACTGAATGAAATAGTCAAATTAGTAGATTTAAATTTAAAAAAAAGTTTTGACCCAGCCATGGATTGAACTCAGGTCTGTCAAGCTACTGTCATAACTCATTCGGCCATCAGCCGCTCTTATAAAAATCAATTTTAATTGTCAATAAATATTGTTCATAATATTTTAAAGTCGAATATATTATTTGTGTTGCTGTTTTGAGCTAAACTTTTTGCATCTTTGTTTGTTTTTATGGGCCATTTAACCATGGAGTCTAGAAATACGCATTTAATTCAAATAATACTTTGTTATTGGCCGAAAACGATAAGAAAATAGTTACTTTTAACTCTCAGAAATAGTCAAAGATGGTGACTAATCTTAAATTAGTCAAACTTTAACTTTTTATGCAGTAAAAAATAACTATTTATAAGTGAAACGACTATTTTATTAGTAAAAAATGCTGGTACTAATTCAAATAAACTCACAGGCAAAATAATCGATCCACACAAATTTTCGATGAATTTCAATCGCAAATAACGCTTTTATTTGATGTCGGATTTAAACGAATATTAAAGAATATTGTAGATAAATTAATGGACAATCGCTCACATTTTACGTACGTTTATAATATACAGGTTTAAACAAAAATATGTTTTTTACCATTACCTTTACTAGGCTCACTGGATTATGTGGTTCGCTCCTGCGTCGCTCACCCCACAAACTTCCAGCTCGCCCGTGAAGATTCATTTACAAAGCTTGACACGTAAATAACTATTAAGCGTTCCGGTTCCTTTTACTAACCCGGTATGGGGCTATAAAATTTTGACAAAATATTAAGTAGTTGTTGCGTTGCCGATGTTGACAACGCTTTGTTGCATGCTATGGTATTTTTGAAAATACAAACATAACAGCTGTCAAAATGTTTATCATAAATTTGAAATTCTTCCTACGTTTTGAAAATGAGTTCTAGCGAAGAAGACCTGCCGCAAAATCTTGCTAAAAAGGCAAGAATATTTCCTTAAAAATCGAAAGAGCGATATGAAAATACAAAATCAAATAGGGATAGACAAGGTACAAAACTCTTGCTTATGTAAAATTGTTAAAAAAAGAGATGGAGGAAATTTTTTTTCCTCCCTCGCTCGGGGGTGGAAAATTAAGTTTTCCAGTAAGGTAGTAGAAAAAAATTTTTACGTCGTGGATTCTTGTAGAGCATAAAATTTTCCAAAGAATCTATCCCAGGATTATTTTTTTCAATTCAAAAATTCGTATGTTTAAAAGTTTTGAAAAGTGTAAAAAATCAGTAAAACTGAATAGGTATTTTGATTTTTTTCACTTTTCAAAGCTTTCAAATATACAATTTTTTTAATTGAAAACATAGTCCTGGGGTAGATTTTTTTAGAAATTTTATGCTCTACAAGAATCCGCGACGTAAAAAGTTTTATCGTAAAAGGTTCAAAAGTTATGGTATTTATAATGAAAGAAGATTTTTTGACGTGTTATTTAATTGGGAAACTTTAAATGCTCACCGACACCTTTTAAAATTGAGCTAAAAATCCTGCCTTGCGGGGACATTTTTTTCTCGGTATATAGGTTCATTTTAACCCATAAATTCAATAGGTTAAGCCGGGTCTACAATTGTCGCAGGACGCAGATCGCAGTACATAAGCTTGCGCAAAGCACCCAGCTGACAAAAGAACCTTGCTTTATCGCCACGTCGCAGGGTGCTTTGCGCAAGCTTATGTTCTGCGATCGGACCCCTGCGACAATTGTAGACCCGGCTTTAGTTTTTTTGGCTCACCTTAGTGACCGTCCATCCTGGTGTCCTTCAGAATTTCAACATGGACACTAAATTAGAAATACTAGACCAATTAGTCAGTTTCGACGTTGAAAGCCTATACACGAATGTTCCAATTGAAGAGTCACTAGAGATTATTTACAAGAAGCTGAACGAAGATGAAACTCTGGTCCAAAGAACGAATTTACCCGTGGAAGCTATAGTAGATCTACTCGGTTGTTGCTTACGAGCAACATATTTCCAAGTAACGGATAAGTTTTACAAACAGACTGAAGGATTACCAATGGGATCACCACTATCACCTATAGTTGCAAACCTTTACATGGATTTTTTTGAGGAAATGGCAATCAACACGTTCACGCATAAACCAAAAATGTGGCTACGATACGTTGATGACACTTTTCTGATCTGGAACCATGGTGACGAGACAGAATTTTCTTCAGCACATAAATTCCATTAGACCGTCAATTAAATTTACCATAGAAAAAGAAAATAATGGTGACCTACCTTTCCTAGATGTACTGGTAACACGGAGGGGCACAAATGAGGAGCATCCGTGCAAAACCGGCTAAATCCATTTTATTCAGTTTTTGGTTTTTTTTTTGATTTCGCATCTTTGGGTTCATTTCTATCGACAACCAAGATAATTCTGTTTAAATCCGATTATATCCATGTTAACACATTTAAAAGGTAGCTTTAGGAGCAAAACCGGCCAAATCCACGTTTTTATAGCAAACCCGGCTATATCCAATAAATAATAATATGTGTCTTGGATATGTAGAATCTACAGCGATTTTTTTTAAATTTCTTTCTGAAATAGGTACACGCTCTGAAATACATTTAACGCTTTCTGATATCCATTACTGACCTACACCAAGCGAGATTGATGACCTTAGAAAATCAAATGTAAAATTAAAATACTAAACAAAACCGAATATAAAGATCATTTAAATATTTAAAAATAGTGACTTCATATTGCACGTAATTTTTTTTGCCTGGATTATTTCAAGCCGGCGCTCATGGACAACCGACTAAAAATTGATGCTTAATCGCAACTTTATTTTTTGTAATTTTTATGATTTATAAAAAAAATGTGATTGTTTAATATAAGTATAGGTAAAAAAAAATATACTTACATTTTTTTATTTCCATGAGGTCACTTCTAAAAGAAAAATAGGGTGTAAGTATTTTAAAGTAGGTGAAAATATTGTTAGACTTTATGTTATACAAACCTTATATAAACGATGCATCGTTTTTACAACATTATTGAAACATCGCGATGTTTCAATAATGTTGTAAAAACTGTCTTTTCATTTAATTTATTTTTATATTGCAAAAAAAATGGCCCGATATAATTGGATAGAATTCTATACAATTATATAGAAGTATATATAATTATATAAGAAAACCGACCCGATATAATTGTATACAATTCTATACAATTATATATAATTATATATAATCATATATTATTATATTCCTGCAAAAAGTAACCAACTGAAATTTTGTAAAATCTTAAAGTTCAAATTTACTAACCAAATTTACCTTATCTTTAATGTATAAAAGTCAGTAAGTGCTTTAGGCATTATATGCATATATGACTTATACATTAAAGATATGGTTATTTGGATATATAAACAACAATCCACACAACTATGTTTTTTAAGTTTTTCACAAAATGACAGTTAGTGACTTTATGCAGGAATATAAAAATATAATGTTATCAAAACCTCCTCACCATTATTATTGGAGCTACAAAGTCGGTTAAATTAGCAAATTAGTGGTATTTTTACAGAAAAATAATTGAACTTCGTATATTTTTATATATTTTGAAAGACAATTTAATATGAAACAAAAAATTATTATAGCATAGACAATTAATAAGCACTGGAACTTTCTAATGGTTGTTGAAATATCCAAATTATAACAATCACTCAAGCAAATTAGTTTTAAGCTTTAACTATAATATAACAAACACACTTTATGAAGAATACGATATCTAGATTTACGCCACGCTAACAAAAGGCGACAAAGAACACCAAAACACGCCATCTGAGCTTTTTCTCAGTGTTACAATAACCATAACGTATGGCGGCAAATTAACACAAACTATTAAATGAGTACAGATTGCCTTTGTAATTAAATTTTTAAGGTTAACTGACGCTTACTACCCTATTTATTGTTTAGAGACCTCTAAATATGTTAATACCTCACAAACAATTGTTGCTTAAGGTGTTTGAACAATTATTAATTACCAGCCGTGATTTCTGCGCATGCGTATTAAGTTGTATTTTGTGGTCATATAACAAATACACAAAATTTAATCTTGTTTTTCTACTCCCACTTCCACTCCCAGTATCGTTCATGTTTCCAAAATATTTTAAATACACATTGACAAGCTGTTACTTTATGACGTTTTAGTCAAGGGCTGAAATTTTAATTAAAATTCTACTTGCGAATCTTCACCAAAAATAAATCGATTTATAAGAATCATTATCACTTACCCACATAATATTTAATAATCCTTTTTTGTAATCAAAATCCTTAACCAATTGAAAATATTTATATATATTCATTATCCAGGTACCTAATTTTCTTAAATTATATATAATTATATAGAATTGTATATAATTATAAACAATTTTATATACCTTAAGGTCAATTGAAAAAAACTTATATATATTTATATAAAATTGTATAGAATTATATACAATTTTACATACCTTAAAAGAGACTTATATATAATTATATAGAATTACAATTATATAATCATATAAAATTATAAACAATTTAAAATACCTTAATAGAGACCTATATATAATTTGTAGAATTGTATATAATTATATAGAATTGTATATTATACTATATTATTATATAGACACTTCAATAGGGTCTCATTTATAATTATATATAATTGGAAATTAGTATATATAATTTTATATAATTATATAAATTCCATATTTTTAAAAACATATTTTATATAGAATTATGTATAATAATTACAATTATTGTATATCATTATATATAAACTTTATATAATTATATATGAATTATATATAACTCTATATACATTTTATACAATGATATACAACTATATAAAATCTTTTTTTATCGGGTAAACATTCAAATTTTTAATTTTGCCTAGTTACGAGCGTCTGTAAATCTATAGAAAGATATAGGTATACCAAACGTATCCAGACAGGGCGTTCTCTATAGAGAACGCCGTGATCCAGACCAAAACTGACGAGCTTTTAATCCCTTATCAGATAAAAGATAATGTAGACCTGTTGAACTAGGCGCGTCGGAAATACGAGGTCAATGCGCTATGGCACTTTGACGCCAGATTTATCGTAGGGGGCCTGACACAAGGATCATGGGGGCGAGGTGGTAGGGAGAATAAATGTCAATATGCGCAAACTTCCTAATCATGCCCAAGTAGCACGACTGGTTAAATTAACGTTAAATTTATATTATGCCTGGTTAATTTATTTAATTAATATTGTACTACAACGTTAATTAACGTTATTTTGTAATAAGTATTGTGTAATAAAGACAATTCAATTATGGTAAAATTAACTTTATGTTAGTTAAATGTAACTTCTTGATTAATGTACCTTTTGGTTAACAAGAAGTTATTATTTGGTAGTTTCTAGTTTATTTTACCCTTTTTTAACTAGTTTTTAACTCTTACGTTTAATTAAACTAAACTGTGCACCACTCAATGTGTCGCGACCAAAAAGTTTTTTTTTAAAACGACATAACTTTTTTGTTTCTTAAACTACACTCACAGACAAAATAAGCGATTTACAAATATTTTCGATGAATTTTAATCGCAAATAACTTTTTTATTTGATGTCTGATTTAAACACATATTAAAGAATATTGTAGATAAATTAATGAAGATTCGCTGACATATTAAAAAATTACTAAAAAATTGATGTTTTTTACCATAAGTTTAAGACACTCTATAGAGTAGCAAAACCGTATATATACGGTTTTGCCACTATATATATATATTGTTCTATAATATATTGTTCTAAATTAAGTTTTAATTCTCAAGCCACATCTATTTTTAACAGTTTTATTTTTGGTAACTTATGTTAACAAATAACATTTGTTAACATAAGTTGAATATAACTTATGTTAACAAATAACATTTGTTAACTTAAGTTAAATATGTTATTGTTTTTATTAGATTTTTTAATTTTAATAAATATTTTTCTATTACTTGTATTTTTTAACTAAAAATTACACATATATTTAAATTTACCGAAATTTTATCATCATCTGCCGAAAATTTCCAAAGAATCTACCGATAAAATGTTCGAAGAGGTTGTCAACACTGCTCATGAGGTATTGTCTCCCTTCATCACTTTGCGCTCTTAATACACAAAAAGCTATGGTATTTTTTTAATAGTTGCAGTTGACGGTAGCAAAGTTTAACAGGTGTTTACACAGTGGATGACTTGGTAACGGGCTTACTCTCTAAAACAGCAATTTGTATATTTATATTTGTTACATAACGCCAATTGAAAATATTTATTGTTTTCAGACAACTGGCTTTATTTTTAATAATCTTAACAAAAAAAACATTGCAATCTAACTTTTACAATAAATAGTAACATACACTCTTATGTTACTCGTAACAATAATTTATTAGATTTTTATCCTTTTACCTCCAATTTTGGAAAATCGTCTATTTTGTATAAAGGAGCCGATAAATATAACTAACTAAAAAGTGTACTAAAAAGTGTACTTTTTAGTTAGTCATATAAGATGTATTGAATATAATTGAAATAAAAAACATTTTGGGCCAAGCTAACTTATGCATTGTTTATATTGTAGCAACTTGCTGCAAGCTCTCAGAAAACTTAAATCGTTTTTTTGATTTAAATCGTTTTAATGACTTAAGTCCTTTGGTAATAAGTCATTTCTCTAAAACTGACTTAAGACTTAAAATTTAAGTAATTTTCAAAATGATTTGTGACTTAAATATTTTTTTCAAAATAAAAAAAACTTAAGTCATTTATAAATCAATACATACGATTTAAGTCAAAAAAAGATTTAAGTCTTTTTGAAAAAGATTTAAGTCTTTTTAGAAAACATTTAAATCAGATTTTTCATATATTTTTTTTATAAATTTTTAACAGCGGCATTTTCTTTTGAACTGCCAGGGGCCGTTTGAATGTCCTGTCTAAAATGAATTAAAAAAAGTGGGGATTTATAATTTTGTTATTTTGTTTGCCAACATTCGTCATGTTCGTGCGTAGTTATGTCTAATTTCAAATTAGTAATTTGTGATTATTAGTGCAAAGTGAAAACAATCTGAGCGGTCGTGAATCGAGAGTTTGGAACTTCCTATCATTACCTCGAGTAATTAAGTAAGGGATCCTTTAAGGGAGGAATATTTTTTTTCTAGATGGATGTTGAACCAGCTAACAAAAGTTAACAAAACAACAAGTTATCAGTTTTTGAAATACAGCGATTTTAAGAAAAATGCTTCAACTTTTATCTATTTTAACAGAGTTTGAATCTATTACCGTTTAGAAGTTACCCATTTATGTATATAAAGAAGTAGCCTCCCTGTATGTCTACTCTACTAAAAAAGGTGGTTTAAGTTTTTATTTTTATTGTCTAATATATACTCAAAACATGTGTTTTAAGTTTATATTTTGTTTGTAAGTGTTCTGAAAATAAATCGTTTTAAATTCTTAACATAGTGGTTTATTATCATCTGTATCTACAATAGATAATAGATAATATAATAGATAATATTAATTAGTATCATTAATACCATAAAATTTTTATTAACATTTAAAAAATCGTTGTATTGTAATTATTTTGATTTAAATCACAATTTTTGATTCAAGTCATTTTATTGACTTAACTCTTAGATCACGATTTAAATAAAAAATATAGACTTAAGTCATAAAAACGACTTACTAAAGGAATTAAGTCATAAGATGACTTAAATCACTTTATATTGATTTAAGAATTTGCGAAAATGAAATTGAAAGAAAATGATTTAATTCAAAGACTTAATACTTAAATCATTTGAACTTTATCTTAGAATTGACTTAAGATTTAAATCATTTTGATTTTAGAATTGACTTAAGACTTAAGATTTAAGTCTTTTTAAAACTGACTTGTTGCAGCTCTGCTTGCTACTAGCAAGTATGGCTCTGGATCTCGGAATGATGACTCATCGCCGGTGAGTCAGCGCTCGAGCGATCGAGAGCTGTGTGGAGCT